CACATGAGTATTAACAATAAACGTCTGTTAGTAATTATTTGTAACATTGAAATATTTTCAATGCCTTGACCTAAAACATTCAGCCCTTTTTGTATGTATGTATTACAATTCATTATCCTAATTTAATACATACCTAAAAAAGTGTTAATACAAAGATTCCATCTTCCGAATTCTCATCCTCATTTGAAGATGTCAACGAAAATACTAGTTGATTTTCCACACTACTTGGTGTTCCTGATTGCCAATTACACTATTCGCCAGTCGGCTAGGAATTGCTGAAACTATGTTTTTCCTAGGTTGGCGATTTTAAGCGTTTTTTTTTTTGTTTTAAATTTTGATGTTGGGGGTCGCAGAGGAGCATTTGAGCAATTAAAAGCGCTTTCTGCTAATGTGCAGGTAATTGCGGGGCAAAGAGATGTGTTTTCTAGTGGAACCATTTTTGTATGTCCTCAAAATCTGCAATTGTAGAACATTTTGGAAATTTTTATCCTTTAATATCCTTTTATATATTCAGAGGATTTAAATTCAAATAAGATTTTCCAAAATGCATTCAAAATTAAAAAGCTTGAAGGATAAAATTTTTAAAGAACATTTTTGTTATATTCCAAAAGGAGAACTGAAAACAAAAAATATAATTAATCTTGTTTCGAATCCTTCTTTAAATAGATGCCGATATATCTATATTTTGTGTAAACTTTTGGAAATATATTATAATTAATGGTCCTTTGAATAAATTTTGATTGCCTGGTAAAAACCAAAAACGCATATTTACTAATTATTACATCCTAATGCTGTAGGGAGTATAGTAATATCATATTATACCAAAAATTTTATTTGGATAGTTTTTAAGTCAAAACCAATAATATGAGACTGTATGTGTTAAAAACAAAACCACTTTGGTTTTTGGGAAAGTCCAATGTACATATAAGTATTTTTTCACCAAATGACTAAAATTCGTTGAAAAATTATAGGCAATTTCTTTATGCCTAACCCACAACAAAGGCCATAAAGTATAACCAATACTTTGTCACTTGTTTTGCTCCAACAATGATTTTCGTTTCTTTCATTTTTATTTTATAGCTAGTTTTATTTTAATTTATGTAAATTAAGGAAATAAAAACCAAAACTGAGTTGCAGCAATATTAAAAACGACATTTGCTTTCTCTTCTTTTTATTGCAGTTGAAACAAAATTTAATAATGCAGCGTTGTCTAATAAAGGAGGCGAGGTTATTTATGGTGGACAGCGGCAATCAACTTTGGTGAAATTAAGAAAAAATTTGTAAATTATCGTTTGAATTAAAGGAAATTATATTTTGACTAAACAAAAACACAGATGGAACTAATGAGCTGATAAGATATATATTAATCAATGGAAACTCCAGCGAAAGGCAAATAAATAAAACTATATTTACATACCAAGTAAAGATTTTATAAGAATTGTATGCATGGAACATGTATAGCGAATATGGAGTAAATTAGTAGCAGATAATATTTACCAAACAAGCTTTAAGTGAGTGTCTGATAGAAAAAAGTATGGCACCAAACTTCCCACTCCGTGCGCTAGTGCTAAGCTACAACTCACAGCTTCTTTAAATATGCATACGACTAATTCTTACTTCCCCTATATCTATGCTCACATGTATGTATGACGCAAGCTATTGCATGCATTACATTGAGGCTGAACGAGATCGAGTACAGAAGATCAAAAGCACAAGGAGAATAATCAAACGAAAAATAAAAACAAAAAACCAAAACAACCAACGTAACCAGCGGCTGCGTTCAGAAACTTGTGTAACATAAAAAAAAACAAAAGCAGCGAAACCTCAAAGCAATCAACTAATACGCGTGGGAAGAAAGAAACTAAAAACTAGAAAAATTATATCAAGTGTATAGTAGCAATGGAAAAATCATACTAAAAGTAAGCCAGCATTAAGAAACGCATTTACGGGAAAAATATAAAATTAAATGTAGCGTAACTGGTTTAAATGCATATTAGGTTGGTTCGTTGGTTAGGTTGGAAAAGAGCTTTCAGATGAAAATAATTTGGGAATGGGTACATACTATAAACTTGGTTTTTGTTTCCATCCAGGAGCTGATACAGAAACCATTGAATCGCCAGTTAAGAAGGTAATGCATATTGTATGAGGACATTTTTTGCAAAATTTATGTTTTGATACTGAACACCTCAGAAAGCATTTCGGCATCAAAAACTAAATTTGAAAAGAAAAAAATGTCGCTTACATTATTTTCGTGGTTAGGGATTAATATGTGCACACTAGGGTGGACTTTTTTTTGTTACTAAATCGTATGTTATTTTCTGATTATGCAGATAATTCTAAGGGAAAGTGTAGAAGAAAAAATGGGTTGGAAATGAGTTTCGGGCCTGCATATTTTTAAAAGAAAAAATTACTTTTTCACGATATTAATTTTTTTTTCTTAAAACTTTTGCATATATGTAAAGTGTGTGTATTTTAATGCTTAAAATTCTGTTTGCACTGAATGAGGGGTAATTTTGTTCTACAACTTATGAAACAAATTTAACACTGTAATGTATGTGAAATTATAGTCTTGAACATAACATGATAAATCAATTTAAAATGTTATAAGCTAGAATATAGGTATTTTACAACCATTAGCTGTAACAGAAGGTCAACCCTTTTTAATACTGGCATAGAGCGAAAAAAACTTAAGAAAAGGTAAATTTTTCTATTAAAAATGCACAGGCTTGAAGCTCATTTCCGACTTATAGTTTCTTTTACATTTGCTCTTAGAATTAACTATATATACCGAAAATACGATCCGTTTTGTCGAAAAACTTTCGTCCGAACAATTTGACCCACCATAATATACATACATGGAGACTATAAAGCAATTTAATATAACCAGCTTAGGAATACGGAAAGCACTTGCACAACCCGAATCGAATTTTGTCAAACCCCTTAAAACAAATTTAAAACCAATTCCTAGCATTTTTTCAGTGAAAATTGTTTACCATCCTAATATATGTATATGTACCCCAGACCATACCAGAAAAACAGTTCGCCGTACACTCGTGTGTCTAAAAATGTTTGCAAGGCAATTTCGATTATTAGCTATTATTTCTTTTTTGATGAACATAGGAAAGTCTTTTTACATTCTTCGTCATATCTTCGGCATTTCTAGTCGGATCTTAAAGTATGATATATCGCTGTTATTGTGTCGAGGATACATTTTTTTCCAAAGTTCACTGGCCTCAAGAACCCCGTTCTGGAAGTTACGCACCAGATCACGCCAAGGAACATTAAATTGATAAGGAAGTTTTTTGATTATTCCAGTACAATATTTCATATTTTTTTATATTTTTTGCCCAATGTACATACTTAGGTGTCACCGAAAAATTTAAAAAGAACGATCTCAAGGTTGGGTGAAAAAATAACTATTTATCGAAATTGTCTTGCAAAAATACTTCGGTCGCTGGGGTGTAAGGAAAATTGACTCTTGATTTTTTGTTTGCTGTAAGGTGGTACTATCTAATGTACAAGCCAATCTACGAGTATATTCACATACAGCTTTATTTTCGTAATCACAAAACTGCCACACCAGAAGAATTGCAGCAGAAAGCCTCAAAAATCTCAACAGATTGCGGCGAAGCGAATCATTGCAACGACAAACTTAAAACAATCAACAGCAGCAACACTTAAAACGATGACTAAGCAATACAGATAACAACAAAAACAACAATAAGCATAAGCGACATGCAATGACGACAAGTTCTGAATTTGGTAGCAATAATCTATGTAGACAAATGTTCAAAGATGAGTGATTAAAATGTGTCTTGAAGTGGAGTAACAACAAAAAGAAGTGCAGCAAGAGGAACAACAAAAAAATAGCAACAAAAAAATATACATTAAAAGCAGTAGAAAACTTGATATACATACTATAATGGGATCTAAAAAGCTCGGTTGCAACAAATGAGTGATAGGAAAGCAGCCGCAGCAATGCCAAGTACTACTTCAAACACAACTCAAGTCGCATCACTCAGTCGCAACGCTGACGGCAGATGAACAAAGAATCCGGGCACGCAAGTAATGGTCGACAAGCAAGATATTTGCTGCTCCAAACCAATGAATGAAAATACAATGAAATAACAATAATGTAACAACAAAAAAGCAGAAAAGCGAACGCTGTGAAAGGCAACAATAACTATAAATTATAGAATAACAGTAAAACTGTAAAGTGTAAAGAAATCGAATTTCTGGTGAGTGAAATGCCCGGAGTGAGATAGAGGGGCATCGCACAAGTGAAAACGCATAGCCGCGGATTCAGTTCAATAGTCATTGAATGGTTGAATGTCATTCCGTATGTTACCGTACGAGTGTATTGCTGAAAGCGTAGAAAGTTGAAAGCGGGAGTGGTGATAAGATCAAAATAAAA